AGAAGCCCAAGACAGAAAATTGCTTATTTGAAAAAGCAATATCCAAATGCTTTCATCACTCAAATGCCCTTTTGAAAATATTGTCGACGGTGGTTATTACCCGGACAATGCTGTCAATTTCTGTAGTCTGCAGAAAATCTTTCCTCAGCTAGAAAAGTAGGACATTGGGCACCTATCTCAAAAAAATCAACCAATTTCCCTGCCACCCGATATATTTTTCACCCAGACAACACTTTCATTAAAGAGGAAATAGCCGTCAACAATTCAAAGCCAAATAGAAATCAACTTCACACAAAGAGGAGCCACGAACTTAATGGCTTTCTGGGAAAATACTGCTGAGAAAGTTGGAGCAATTCTGGTTCTCTCCTTCTAATACTGAAGGCAGTTTCCCCAAAACTATCACTAGAAGGCCCCAGACCACGGTAATCCTCCGGGAAGCAACGCAGAAGGGCGTCTGCCAAAGTGCTTCCCTCACAGCCGGGAGCGGATGTTCTGGTCAGTGGAGAGTTAAACATTTCAGGGAAATGCCTGGAATAGCAGCAACTTCTCCTCTCACAGAGCCCTGGAATAGTCTTGGGACAAATGAGTTCTCATTTGTGCTGCTGGAGCATAGATCCCTCCAAAACTCTAGGTTTAATCTTCTATCAGGGAGGCTGTTCTGGGGTAGAAGAATCGGGAAATGTGGTAGGGTCGGGGAACTTTTAGTACTGCATCCAAGAACTGGCCTTAATAAAGAACACTGAATAGCCACTGTTAGTTAAGTTAATGTGCTTTTCTTTTCAGGAATAAACTCAAACTGATTAAAATTTTCAGTGGGCAGCAGGCTTAATTTTCAAAAGATGAGAAGTACACACACCTAGGCCACAGGATAAACATTGGTGGTCTCTCTCCTGCTGCTTTTCCCTCAGCTTCCACATTTCTTAACAGCCACCTTCATGATGAGTGGAATTCACGCAAAGGGTCTGGCTACCAACAGTGTAGAGGTAGTAATCCATGAATATATTAATCACTTTTTAATCTCAAACAATTGGTGTGGAATTCACATTTTAAAGACACCCTAAATTCGAGGGAATAGATGACTCAAAATGTTACTTAAGCACAAAGTGTAGAAAGAATTTTCAATTCATGTCCATATTGGTTTAAAAAGCAACTAGATTATTAGCAATTTTAATTCTTAGCCGAATTGGTGGGAACTATAATGGAGGATGAGGGGCCTCTTCTCATTAAAATAGTACTTTAGACGCATGACTGATCACCATAACATCATTTAATCCCTTGTCAGCTTCTCTGGACTCAATTTCTGAGGAACTTTTTGTTGACGTGCCCCAGGAGCAGACATTAGATTCAATTCTCAACTCTGAAAATTGCCACAGGTGAACCCCAAACAGGATGCCTCAGCTTTCTGCTGAAAGGTGCTCTCTGTGTGTGCAGTGGCCTATCCCTCAGCTTGATCCACTGAGAATAACTCAATTTCGGACTCCCACTTTTCAGAGCCAGAAACCACCATTCCCTAGTTTATCCAGTGTATGCTTCAACTCAGTTAAAAAGCTGTATTTCTGTTAACCCATTATACCATACTGAAAATATCCTGGAGTTTGTCCAAAACTGACAGGAGAATAAAGATTTCAAGACTTTTTTATTTTTAACAGGTATTGTTAAGCCATAGATTCTTCTCCTGCTGAATTCAGACTTTTAAATCTATAATACACAACATTCAGTAAACAAATTTCTTTGCCTTTATTTTTAAAAAATGGTTTCCTGTCTCCCTACGTTTATGGGTAGAGTTAGCGCTGTGTTGATTTTTGAGTGTTTTAACTAATATGCTTCAAAAGGTAACTTTGCAGACACATTTCTAAATAACTTCCCATTGCAGTGTTAAAATAAGCTTCTAGTTTGAAATAGGACAGACCTATCTCTCAATAAACACAAGTAGCCTCAAAAATCCTCAACCTAGCACAGACATTCAAAGAGCCCTGGGCCAATAAACATACTTTGAAAACATTCATGACTACAGGCTTAAGTATGGAGCATTGATCTGCTGGATAGAGAAGCTTTTCATTAAAAATTCCTCCCAAATTAGGGAGTACTTAGGGCATTTCTCTATAAGCAGAAGCCTATTTTTTTTTAACATAGGAGATACCTAAACAAATCTTTCTCCCTGGACCTAATGTGGTGATTACACCTTGGGAAACATAACTGGGATTCCAGGGGCTTAAGGGAAAGGTGCACTGTGGTATCAGCTGGGAGACAATGCGTAAATAGAGCACCCTTCTCACCTCACTTGTGGTGTGAGCTTATAAAGACAAAAAAAATTACTCCTTAAGCTCCTCCCTGGCTTACGTCAATTCAAGGGGGGGAAAAAAATAAAGTGATGCTTTTGCCACTTCTACCTCCTTGGAGCATAACTTTAAGCAGCTCCTGACAACCTGCATGCATCTATTTCAGTTCCTTACAAAGGTCTGGGATGTTCTGCTATAAATGAATGATAAATTCAGTTACTGTATCTGGTGTTTAATAAAATAGATGGAGAAAGAAGTCTTGGCCACTTCTTGGTCTGTCTCATTGCCCTGGAGCTTTCATCAAGGCTCTCTCCTTCTTTACTGTCCTGACTGCCCAATACACCCTCTTAAATTCATTTCCATGGTAAGAGTCAGCTTCCTGCTGCTCCATGGAAATAGCTCAGGATTCCGCTGCAAATAACCACGGGATTACAATCTCTGGAAATACTGCCTTGGGTCACAGCCACCAGCCTTTTGTTTTTGTGGTGCATGTGGCTTCTAATCCCCGACACACAAAACAACTTTAGATCGGAGAAAAAAGAATGGACCTCTAAATCGCCTTCTCTATTTTATTGTTCACATTTCGTATTGTTTTGAGTGAAATTGAAAAAATTGTCTCCTTTCCCTGTGTTGCCAAAAGGCATTCAGGTAATGAAGTCTGTAACTAAACGGTAATTGAATCAGCATAATTTGCACACTGAATGGTTTTCAAATGCTCCCAGTTTACAATTAAAGGAGAATTAATGCGCTTGTTGTTGAGAACGCAGCGCATTAGAATAAATCCAGCACTGTTGTTGTAATGAGTGGAAAACGGTTTAACTGCCAACAAACACATTTAAAATTTAACACAACGTATTGATTTCACTTCTGTTTTTGATAGATTATTTTCCAGACTATCGAAATACTTGCTCCAAGCAATAAACTGCACCACAGCCGCGAGCCTTCACCGTGTGTGTGAGCACGGTCCAAGGACGTAAGGACAGTCCTGAGGCTCAGGTCATGCGTAAAGGTGCGCAAAGGAGAGGGGCGGGAGGGTCTCCATGGTCGATGGAATCGTTACTATTCCCCCTCTGTAGCTTTCACTTTGAAGCCCCCCCCCCCCCCGCCTCTTTCAATAAACAATTTCTATATTTCCTCTGGCCAAACTTTCTGCCCTCTGTTTCTGGGCTCTCAATGTCAGTGGGTTTACTGGACACAGGTGGGGGCAAGAAAAACTGAAGATGAGAAACAGGAAGGACACTTTTTGCATTCTGTCTGCGTTCCAGGCGGGGAAGGCACAGACTTCGGTGAGAGAGTCAGAAAGGCTGTTCTTTTGGATTGGCTGCCCAGGCTTTCACCTGTTTACCCCAAGGTGTCCTGTGGGCGAGGACACTGACGCGCAGCGCCCTCTGGCGTCCACGGTTGCCATGGTCGGGCGATAAAGGTCCAAAGACAGGCAACACCGAGGGTTCGTGGATTGAAGCAGAAACCCCTTAAATACACACACCCTCACACACATATGCGCACACACATGTATACACACACACTCACTAACATACACAGAGTTCACACAACTAGCAGCTCTGCAGTCACATGCACCAGGGCAACGGCTGGGAAACGCTCTCAATTGCAGGGACAGCAACTCTTTTGCTACCAGACTTGTGGGTTCTGAAGCCCTGAGGATTGAGGGACGGCAACGCCCCCGCCCCATCCCGTTTATCCAGCCCTGTCAGAGAGCTCAGACCGCCCAGCGTTCCTCGCCCCTAGTCAGAACACACGGAGCCCTCAGTGCGCTTCTGGGGCCCAGAGATGGGATATGGGATCGGTGCACTGAGCGCAACTTCTCCAGCTGGGTACTAGTGTCCCTGGCCCTCCCTGAAGCCAGACCCGAAAGATGGCACTCTACGTCTTGGCTCTGCGTGGTGCCCACAGCTACCAATCCATCCCCGCCACAATAAAGCGCTTCGCCCCCGCCCCCAGTTCCAACAGAGTGCAAAGTCCAGACTCCCAAAAACTCAGCTCTAGGAGGACTCAGACGGTGGCTTTGGTTAGCATTCTCTCCCTGACGACAAGGTCCGTCATTCCTTAATAAGGGGCTAGGCAGTGGAACTGGGGTTCAGTTATTTGATGGAAAGGAGAGATTGGGAGGATAGGGAGGAGGAGCTGCTACATATTTGCTGAAGCATCTCTGATCAAACCATCTGATATCTTGTGGTGCTCCTATCTGATAAACTTGTCCCGTCTGAACCCTACAAGTCGAACAAAGTTACCTGCACTTCTTTATGTGCCATATCTCCAAACTGGGGTCTAGGTGGGTGGGTTCACTTTCAAAGTCACAGACCTGGACAGATTCGTTCTCCCCACTCTACACTTCCATTTCCTTTCGTCTAAACTCCTTGGATGAACTAATGAGAGGTCCACGTCTTCTACCCCTTCTCTTTGCCCTCTCCACCCATAGAGCATCCAGTCCCCCTATCTCCTCGGTTTCTGGGTGTCTAGGGCGGCCTAGACCCTGTTCAGAATCAGGCGCAGAAGAGGGGGACCGGAGCGAGAAATGTAGGTGGGAACCCCGGAAAATCCCGCAGGGATCCAGAGACCAGCTTGCCAAAGTTGTTCCAACACAGTCGCTAGGAACGCTGCTCTCGCTGAAGTGGCTGTCTCACCCCACTCCCGCGCGCCCGCAGTTGCCTGGTCTAGCGGCCAGGGTGGGATTGCGGGGGCACCGGATCCGCAGCGACTTACCAAGTAGACGGTGGGCTGCAGGAGGAGAAGCACGTACCAGCACGCAGCCTGCATCCTCCCGCGTCTCAAACTTCCTCGGCGGTGCCTTCGCTGAGTCTTTGTTCCTTCAAAAACATAGATCCACCTGACATCCACTTTACAGAACAAGGAGCGCTCTCAGCAGCCTAGATACAAATGAAATTAGACATCCCATGACCACGCGGGCAAGGTTACATTTGGCGACCAAGCAGGGAAAGAGGGTCGTGGCGGGGAGGGGTGGACCAAAAAACCCGGGGGAGGGAGGTAGGAAAAATTGAAAAACGAGTAAATCCAGCGCCTGAAACCAGCGAGCGCGCGGTCCACAGGCAGGCGGGCGAAAGGGTGGGAGGATGAGGGGCTCCTTGCGCCCTGCGCTCCTCCGGTGAGAGTTCCCGTGCGGTGGAGACAAGAGGTGGCGGGGCACACAGAGCCGCGTGCAGGCTGGTTCGGAGCCCAAGCGTCTCTGGCGGCGAAACCTGCCCTAATGCTTAATGGCCGAGCGGCTCGGACTAAAGGCGGCGGCTGGTTCTTCGCCAGCCTTGGCAGCGCTCACACACGTACACACCAGCAGAGAGAGATGTAGAGAGAAAGAGAGAGGGAGAGCGAGCGAGAGAGACTGAGCGAGGGGGGCGCGGGAAGAGGAAGGGGTAGGTAGAGCTGACCAGGATTAGGTGCTGGGTGTCTCCACAGGTTCGGTGGGGTGGGGGTAGGGAAAGGGAATGCAATTTGCATACAGGAAAGCGGGCTCAGTTTACCCATTGAGGCCCCTGCACATACAGAGATACAGGAGCTTACACGCACATCTCCGTCACTACTTTTTTTCCGATCCAAGGGGCACAGCCAGTCGCTAACTTCTAGAGTGAAAGCCTGCCTGGGTCTGTGAGGGTCACCCTCCAGGCGCACTCTGTCCCCCAAGCAGTGGCCCTACCTGCCGCCCCTTCATGGTGCCGCGCCACTCGACCCTAAAGTATCCCCTCTGGGACTGTGGAAGAAAAGGGTACGCACCGTACAGGACAGGAGGCGAATCCGGCGAGCAGGGATGGCTTTGGGCAGGCTCCATGGAGGAGCTACTAGGGCCTGGTGTCTCCGGCGCCCCGAACATGCCCTCCCTGGCGCTTCGTCTCCATGCTCGGGTGCAGACAGGTCCCGCGGCCTCGTCCAGCCTCGGTAGTCGGCGTCCCAGTGACCGGGTCGCGCTCAGTATTGGTTCCGTGGGAGCCTAAGCTTGGCACAGTTGAATACACGGTGCAGGAAACTTAAGAGGCAAGAGAGGGAGGGGGAAGTAGAGGAGGAAAGAGAGGAAGAGAGAAAGGGAGGGAGAAAGAAAGGGAGGGAGAGAGGCAAATGCACCGGGCTACTGCGCCGGATGGACTGGGACTGCCAGCGCTGGCACAGAGAAGAGCAGTCCAGGGCTCCCAGCTTCCCGAGGCCGCGGAAGGATGGTAGAAATGACTTAAGGGGAGGAGACTGGGCAAGTCCTCCAGTGAACTTGAGAGATAAGACACTAGCCTTTCGGAAGGAAAAAGCCACGAGGCAGTCGCAGGCAGTCCGAGTTTCTGAGAGAGGGGTGGGGTGGCGAGAACCTGGAGGCTCCTGGCGCACGGAGCCGCTGTTTCTCTACCCGAGACACTGGGAAGCCCGGGAGCCACTCGGGAGCGGAGTCGCAGGCGCTGTCCGTGGTCCTGCCCCGCCACTGGGGGACGCTCTGGAGTTGGCGGCGCTGACCCTGTGGCGCTTTCTCCTCAGGTCCGCCGCTCGGCACGCCTACCTTCCCGACACCGGCAATTACATTGGCACGTGGGTGAAGGACTCCTCAGAGACTAATTAACACCCCATGTAAATAGCTCCCGCTCCCAGGCTCCTGCGGTGTCTCTGGTGGCCGCAGCGCCCCCTCCCAGGAGGTGCGGGGAGGACTGCGACCGCCAGAGGAGTGGCGGGGAGCGTAGCGGGAAGGTGGGTAGGGCAGTGATGGGCGCAGGAATGTGCAGGGCTCCCCAGCCCACCTCGGGCGCCGACGCGGGGCTCCGCCGACCTGTGGCTGCCGGCCCGAGGCGGGGGCTCTGCGGACTGCCACCCATTCAGCAGCGACAGCGGAGAGGACTGGGCGACCTTGCGCTCTCGACTCCTCGAGGCGGGCTGGGCCAAGCGAGAGGCGGATTGGGAGTGGGGACGGCCGGCTGGTAGAGGGAGGATGCGGGGGGATGCTTTGCCACCTCCTCCCTCCTGACACCTCCTACTCAACCGGCGTCTCCCAGTCTCACCTCTTTGCTCTGACTCTCGCTATCTCTGCCTCTGTCTTTCTCAATCTCTCCCTTGCTGTCTTTCTCAGTATCTTTCTTTTTCTATCTTTTTGCTCCGTATTTCTTGGGCTTTATGCTTGTCCCTTGGCGTCTTTCTACCTCTCTCTGTGTGTCTCTCATGATTTTTGACTCTCTCTACTCTGTATATCTGTGTCTCTACCACACCCCCGCCACTACCTCTCAAACTTCGTCCTTTGGTGAAAGCCAGCTTCACCCATATCTGTTGAGATCCGAGGACCAGGCCCCTCTGGTGCCAGCCGCCAACGCCTCCTAACGTGCCCAGATTCAGTCTACAAGTCTGAGCTCAGCTGAGGGCATTTTTCTTACCCTATCTTGCCGGTTCTCCAAGCCTGCCCTTTGCCAATCTGGCCCGGAATGATGTACACTGCACTATGACATTTGATATTAATCCATAAGAGTTGGGTTGAAATTTATCTCAGGAACCCGAGTTGGTGGCATCAAACTAGAATCATGGTTTTTAAGGAATCTTGGGGAGTCTTTGCCCCAAGCTCAGCTTCTGGACATCTCAGGCTCTACTGTGGCCACTTAGATGGGTCAGAGCCCAGAAACAATGTATGCTCTGCACAAGAGGTCCCAGCAACCATAGGTTGAATTCCCCTAGGGAGAGCTGGTAAGCTCCCCCACCCCCCAACATAGCAGTGACAATCAGCAGAACCACCCTTTTCTGGAGAAGATGCAGGAGGAGCCCCACTGAGTCCTTTGTCTGGAATCAGACCTCCAATTTAGATTCCCTCTGTAAGACATACCTGCCAGGCACTTTGAGGCCTACACTCTCCCTTCCAGCTAAAAATAGGTCTTTAAAGAGCAAGCTCTTCTAATCTCAAAAGTTGTACTCTGCTGCTGTGACCTCTTGGAATTCACTGGGGCATATGCAGAGTGAGGCAGTGGAGCACGCTATCTAATTGGGACTCTGAAAATGCACTTTAGAAAAAAATACACATTTATATATAGCATAGTTGCAATGTTATCTTAGCTATCTTCACCTGCCAGGATTTTTACACTCTTAAAAAGTTTAAAGAAGAAAAGTAAATGTCTTAGGGCACCCGTATCTGAGGCTGAAGGGTCAAAGTAGGGCAAGGGAGCTTTGTCTGATTCCACCCTCGAGGATTCAGAAGGCCATCCTAAAATTGATCCCCATTTATATGCGCTCCCAGGCCCTCCCACACTGGAGGAGTGTGGAGCTGGAGTGAGTGTTGCTTTCCTTACCCAGATGCCCAAGTACAATGCTGTCAGAGCTGAACTTGCATCTGACCTTTGGGAAAAGGAGAAAGAATCAGGCCAGCCTTGGGATATACCAAGTTCTTTTCTAAACCTTACTTCAAAAACATTCTGCCTCTAGTGCCATTTAGCCTTAAAAAATTACTGCTTGAGAAATAGAAAGACGATCAAGGACCTTAAAATCTCTGTCTGAATGGGACTGATTATTTAAGAAAAGCACCCCAGGCACCTCGTAATGGGAACTGGCCCGACACTTTGTTCTATGACACAGGGTGCCAAAGAGCTTTTCACAGTAATGACCTGAGACCTTCTGCCCAGACATTCAACTTTCACTGGATTCTATGAGACACTTGGCCTGGGACATAAAACAGTAGTGGATTGTCATTTTTTTCCATCTTTGCAGGAGTCTTCTTTTCCTGTAGTATTCAGTCAGAAAAGGACACGAAGCCAAATAACACTGAAAAACTTAGCATTGTTTCTGCAAAGCCTCCCTAATTTTAATGACATAATATTGGGGTGGGGGAGACAAAGGGCTTATTCACCCTCCTTCTTTCCTATCATTTGCTTTAAAAAGACCTAAAAACAATAAGGGCATAATTCTCATACATTCTTTTCTACTCTAAAATACACTCTTAGAATACATCCACAATCAGCCTTACCAGGATGGAACCAAAGTGTGATTATTCTTTAGGAGAATAATATTTGTGCCAATTTTTTTCAGACTATCCTCACGTTAAAAATCCTTTCAGAAATCACTCTCTTTCTAAATTTTGTGTGTGATACAACTTAACATTATAAACTTAGCATGAATGTTACCCACAGTAAAATTCAGTCTTCTACCCTCTGCTTTTCCCCAAGTCTACCAATCTGATCTGAAATGAATAGTATAAAGCAATAATATACATTTCTTTCCAGTAAACATATATTTTAAAAGAATTAAAATGGGCTGACCTCAAAAAGGAAACACTGATATTAAACCATTTTCCTGATAATTAGAGCCAGAAGAAATTAGAATTAGAATTCATCTGAAATATACTGATAATTCTGTTAACTGTAATTAGCTGTTTTGGTTGATTTGGTTTGGTTCATTTATATGATTCTCTTTTTCTGAGGCAGAGAGGGAGGACAGGAGTTGCAAGTTTGAATTATCTTGAGGTTGGGAAGAAGAGAGAAAGAAAGAGATTAGCTTTGAATTCTACAAAACTCTGTTCTAAAATGAACCTGTCTTAAAACACACAAATATCATCATCTTTTATCCAAAATCCAAGTAAAAACAGAAAACTGTTGTTATGAAGCACCCAGCTGTGGTCTTGCTTAAGCTTTAGGCCAAATTATATCACTTTGTACACAGTACTGCATTGTACCTATTTTTTCCCTAATAGTGCTAAAAAACTTACAAAGCACGTATTATTCTTTTGCCTTCACCTCAGTATGACCTGGTATTTGCATTGCATGACCTTGAGGAAGTGCCGAAGATTCCCCTGGCCTCAGATCCCTCCCCTACATAATGAGGAGTGGGGTTAGATGATGTCTACTGTGACTTCCAGTTCTAAAATTCCTTTGTTCTATTTTTTGTTTAATTAAATGTGACAGTCATCTCTGGTTTAAAAAACTTAGGTGATAAATTTTACCTCACAAATAACAATTGTATACTACATTGTGATTTTCAAAGATAGTAACAATTTAAAAGAAGATGTTTTGTTCAGTGCATTTCAAAGATTTTAAATCAATTGTCTGTGGGTTTGGACCAAGGCCTTTTTTGTGCATTTCGTCTCTGCCCACCCCCATAACCTTTCTTCTAGTTCAAGAATTGACTCTATTATATTAATTATATCATTTTTTCACATAAATTGTTCTCCACATGTTTTTAATGTCATTGATTTATGAGAATCTACACTCGGAGTGGCATCCTTATTGTACCTATGAATTTTTGTTTAAAAGACCCAAAGCCATTTCCACTACTTTTGCAGAACTGTTAAATGCCACTCAGGACAACCAGGAAACACCCTGGCCCCTACACACCCCAAGCTTTTTCGCTAGTGGAAGGAAAGAAGGATGATTTGCAAAGTGATTTGGTATTTGAATGTAGTATAACTTGGTTAATAACTATGAGGTATGTGTGCTAAATTACCGTTACAAGAATGCTTTAATAAAAAGATCACTGGACTAGAGAGAAAAAATAGCCATCAAGCTCTAGAATTAAAAAAAATAAAGGGAATCAAAAAGCTTTATGTAGAAGGCATCTTCTATTTTAGAGGTAATTTAAATGCTCAGTCTTTGTAACCATATTTCATTTACTCTGCCAGGTAAGGACAGAGGGTTCTCAAAGGTAGGGTAGTTTTAATTGTACTCACAAACTTTAAAAAGAGAATGAACATGAAAAGAGAAATTGAGGAAAGTCAGCATTAAAAAGGCAGTTGAATGTAAAAGATGGGAAGATTGGGGTCATCGCTCAAAAGTTGTAATTAAAATTCCTAAAAAATATGTGACTAAGGAAACCTTTGCATAATAATCTAATTACAGAAATTCTTCATGGTGGTCCCTCCAGGAATTAATTGGCAGTTCCCTAAATAGAATTGTTAAGGACAAAGAACTTGATAACCAATGTTCTGTTAACAAAGCCAAATACAGTATCTGCTTTCAGTCAGAAAGAACACTGGGACTCTGAATCATGTAGGGATGGAAGAAATTACGAGGACAAAGGTTGCACGTTCTGTGGTTACCTGAAAACTGAAACCAAGTCTGCAAATGCATATATCTCCATAACCTAAAGTACCTGGATATTTTGAAACATACATGTTTTTCCAACTTTTACCCTGATTCGGCAATATGAAGCCAGAACTTTAAAACAAGATGCTTTATACAGGCAGGGAACAAGTGAC